GGGCCTAAATTCAGCACGCGGGCCTCGCAGAAAAGAGAAATGCCCTCCACCACGACGTACAACACCCCCCCATCGTCGTTGTTGTTGTCGGTGGTGTTGTTGTGGAGGGCGGCCGCCCGCACCCCGCGCGCCCACCCGCCCCACTCCGCCTGCGCGAGAAGGGAGGAGTCGGCGCTCTCTTCGCCCGGCCCCGCCAAACTTCCCGCCGCCGGAGGGCTCTCGTGGATAGAAGGATCGTGGAGGATACTATTCGGTAGGATATGTCCCTCTAGGGTATTCCCTGTTAGGATATTATTCTGTAGGATATTCCCCTCCAGGTCATCCCCCTTTAGAATAATATCCTGTAGGATAGTTCCCTCTAGGGTATTCCCTTGTAGGATATTCTCTGTTAAAATACTATTCGGTAGGATATTCCCCTCTAGGGTATCCTCCTCCAGGTCATCCCCCTTTAGAATACTATTCTGTAGGATATTTCCCTCTAGGGTATCCTCCTTAATAATACTATCCTGTAGGATATTCCCCTCCAGGTCATCCACCTTTATTATACCGTCTCGTGTAGCAGTGTCCTTTAAAGGACTATCCCTTAAAGTGGTATCGGTTAGAATAGTATTTTGTAGGATATTCCCCTCCAGAGTATCCTCCTTTAGAAGATCCCCCTTTACAGCAGTGTCCGTTGCCGAACCATCGTTGATCGAACGCGCCTCGAAAGGATCCTTCGTCAAAGCCCTCGGCTCGAGCGCCCTTCCCGGGCCCTCCGATTCCCCGACGAGGTAGTCGGCGAGGCGGGGCAGCTGCGTTCGCAGGTCCGCCCGCCAATCCCGCAGGGGCCCGCGCCCTTCGATCGCGCCGCGGAGGAGTTTTTTCAGCCCCCCGAGCGCCTCCGCGAGGCCCGCGAGGTCGATCCCGCGGGGGTCGTCGAACCCCCCGAGGCCCTCGCACCGCGCGGCGTCGAAGAAGTCGTCGACGGCGATCGGGTGCAGCGGCGAGCGGAGCCGCCGCGCGAGGACGTCCGCGACGGTGGACTTCCCCGACCCGCTAAACCCGGTCACGGCCACCAAACAACATCGCCGGTAATCGTTCCCAGAGGAAAATGCCATCCAAAACAACCTTCCGGGGGAAGGGGGGGAAAGAGGGGAGTTGAAGGCGATGGAAGTTCTACTATTTCTCGATTTTCTGCCTACGCCGCCTCCATCGGGTCGGTTGGGCCCCAAAAAAAAAGGTCGAAAAAAAGAAGAGGAGAGGGAGGGGGGGACTGGACGCGATAAGGGGAGTGCGGTGGGTTCAACCACCACCACCAGGAAAACCATTCAGTTCGAAGCCCGCAGGCCCACCGCTTGCAGGACGCGAGAAATATCTTTTTTGGAAAGTTTTCTCCCGCGTTTTACCGCAGAGGGGGGGGGGGGGGGGGTTATTAACAACGGGCGGTTTTATCTTTTTTTTTTTTCGTGAAAAATGTTCTTCGGTGGTGCTTTCCATCGCCGCTCTATCGGTGGATGGGAATGAACCGGGGGGGGAGAGGAAAACGTCGCGTGATGGGCCGCCGCCCGATTACGAAATTTCCCATCGCACCAACAAAGCCAAAGAAAGAGTTTAGGATGTCCAATCCCCTCACCAGCGGGGTTCGCTGGTGAGATCCATCGCGAAGGTCTCACCCTTTGCGGTATACAACAGCCCTGTTTCATGAAAAAAGTGCCCCAGTAAACGCCGTGGCGGCGGGGCCTCGGGCCCATTCCCGCGGCCTTCCTCCGCCGGCGGCTCTGGCTCTTGGATTTCGCCCTCGTTTTCCCGTCGTTCGCCGTCATTGGCGGGCTTTGCCGCCTCGTTTTTCGCGTTCGAGGGGGGCCGGGCGAGAAACACCGACGAGACGCCCGCCACGGCGATGCGATTGCGCCCGTAGCGACCGGCCGACGACGCGCCGATGGTGCGGCCCTTGAAAATCGCATCCACGCAGGCCAACACGGCGTCCACCTCCGACAACGCCGCCTGAGTTGTCCTGTCCTCTTCCTTCTCCTCCTTTTCCGCCTTCTTAATCTCAGGACTATCATCAGTATCATCATTATCAGGAATATGAGGACTAATCCTATCCCTAAGGGTTAGGTTGTGGATAGTCTGAGGACTAGTCGCCCTCGCCTGGTCGGGAAGCCCGACGACGTCGCGAAACCGCTCGACCGGCGCCGCCGCGGGCGCGCCCACCAACGGCGCCGCCCCGGCGAAGGCGAATTCGGAGGGGAAAAGGAATGACGAAAACGAAGACGCCCCGGCTTCGGGGGCGAGGGGAAGCCACGCGATCGTCCCCGGGCCAAATCGAAGGGGAATGCGCCGCCCCGACAAGTCGGGCTCGCGGGGGGAAGGGGGGAATACCGCCGTCCGCGGCCGCTTTTCGTGGGCCCGGCGAGGCGCCGTCAAGAAAAATTCCTCCCCCTCCCCCTCCCCTTCTTCCTCTTCTTCTTCTGCGTCGTCCTCCGGCCCGTTCCCCGCGCGCGAGGGCGAAATCGTCAGCCCGAAGCCGTGGGAGGGCCCCCCGTCCTTGGAGGCCGCGAAAACGCACTGCTGGGCGTTGATTTGGCGAGCCCGGGCGTAGCGGTGGGCGAGGACCGCCGCCCGCGCCCGCGCCCGTGCGGCCTCCGGGGAGGCCCCCACCGCCGTCGAGGGCCCGGAAGCCTCCACCCCGAACGACGAGGCGGGAGAAGAGGGAAAAGTCCCCCTCGCGTAGACCGCCCGCGCGAGTTCGGCGACCTGGCGGCAGACAAAGCGCACGCCCGCCGCGGGATCCTCTCCTTCGCGGGCAGAAAAAGGCGCCGGGGCGGCGGCAAAGCAGCCGTCGGGGCTCTTGGCCTCGCTATTCCCCACCGGCGCCGAGGCCTCGGG